GTAATTTGGTTAATTGTAAAGAATGAAGAACTTTTACTTCACAATTTCCGAATTTGAAAATTGTCGATTGGAGTTCTTCTCATTTTATTGCTGAAATATGATTCTTCTTGAAAAAGTAAGCTGCTGGGTTTATTTTGCACATTGTAATCGAACAATACAAACCACATTCYTCAAAATCATTAAAAATCGTTTGCTCTTAATTGTTGATAACACTTGATCGTCCGGAAACTCTTKTTTTTTYACGGGTATGTGTAYCATTTCCTCTTCCGAAAGCGTTTGTACAAGAAGTATTTCAAAAATTTCCTTTATGTTYGTTGTGATGCTTAACTTCTGATTTCGGTCTAGTAGGTAGTCTTCAAATTTTTACGATTTAGTCGATATAGGAAATACGATTTTCCAACTCCATARTTTCGGTCTTTCTATTACYATTCTTTTTAGTTAGTATYAACTTTTTGAGAGAGCCCAATTTCAGGAAGCTTTATCCTCATAAAGGTGCATTTAACTTTATTATCTTCAACCAGCTAATATGTTTCTATCACATCGCATTTTTTAGTGTATATTTTATTAAAGTGGTTTGGTGGTAATCTCTAATAAAAATAAATGGAGGATACTGATGATAAGATGTGTTTTATATTTATGAATTTTCAATTGTAACTATTCATACCTTGGGCTTTCCATTCTATTTTAATCTTGCTTGTTTTCACAACTATCGTCCCAAAATTAGTAAATCTGTATTGGTAGAAATACACACCTTTTTTTTTCTTTTTATTTCACACCATTTCTTAAACTTTGACAAACAAAATCTTTCTGGAGTCTAATAAACTAGTTTTTCTTTCGTTTCAAGTTAATTAGACATTTCTGAGTTTGCCGATGTTTTAAGGAAAATTAAATTCTAACTGGATTGAGTACGTGACCGTCGAAGAAGCATTAGTTTGGATAACATGAACAGAAGGACCAATTGCTTGAAAGCCTATTTCTTCAAAGAATCAAATATAGTTGCTATTTTTTTAATACTAAATGAAATAAGGAATTATACCAGGCATTATAATTTAGACGATAACAAAAAATTCCACTTTTATCAAACTAATGTACCTATCGGTACAAAGAAATAAAAATTTTATCGAAAAAACGACTAACTAATTTTATGGTAACTGGCTATTCAAACTTATAGAACAGTTAATTCAGGAAAAAGTTGCTCAATTATGTATGATCCGAAGAAGTTGAACTAAAGTGGTTTCTAGTTGTGGGTGCCCGTATAATTAAATTAGCAAGGAAAAGTAGTGATTAAGTGGAAAACAATCAAGCAGAAATATCAGTCTCGTCAGTTCTCCAAAAGTATACGTATTCACTTCTTTGACCAAACTTTAAATTTATGTTTATACCCTTAGCAATTTACCAATTTTTCCATTCGTTTCTTAATTTGTATACTTTGCCCATAATGCATTACATTAGCACATCTGGTTCACTTTACTGAAAGTTTCAAATTCTTAATTTTGCATTTGAGAACAATTTTATACAAAAAGGCCAAGTGGTTCGAGCCATTATTCAAATATCTCACAAATGTGAAAATAGTTACTTGCTGATATAACACACATTTGAATTTTTCCAGCTTGTTCGAGACAGTTCAGACACTTTTTTGGGCCGTATTCGGGTTGATCGATTTGGATAGTTTCGAGTTGAACGAAATCAGAATTTTCACCCGATTTTGGGGGATGCTGATGTTCGGCACTTATTCAGTTATCAATATCGTCGTTCTACTTAATCTTCTCATCGCCATGATGAATCATTCCTATCAACTGATTTCGGTAAGTGAAAATATTTCCAAAAATCCTTACTTGATGGTTGTAGTCGTGTCAATAAAATGTTATTAATAATTTTATTTATTCTTTGATTTTGTATTTATGACAAATTGATTTCTGCGAATACTGGGTGAAATGTGTGAGGGTTTCTTGTTTGAAAAAGTAACTGCTGATGTTTACGTCTAAAGTTGGAGAAGGTTAAAGCTGGGGCATTTTTAGGTTTGCACACTTTTAAAAATTGATAAAATTTAAAAATAATTTGGCAAAAATACAATGTTAATAAAAATAGGCCAGAGATGAGCAACCCGCAGCCCTACGTACTTTTTTGCGCGGCCCGTCAATGTTTAACGGATTTTTTTAAATATATTTACAACTATATTCTTATCCTCCCTGGGTCTCAGTCAAAGTGTGAAGTAGAAGTTTGAATATCGTTGATTTCATTACGTTTCGCTGAGACAACAGCGCCATCATCAGATTTAAAATTTACTCAAACACCAATTCACAATTAAAACATGTTGTATAAAAACGACAATTTATAAAGGGTTAAAACATTCATCAGTTGAGGGAAAAAATTTCCTGTTGGGAGAGCAAAATATTTGAAAAACTCACCTCATAATTGGTAAACATTACGTTCTTTTGGGTCTTTGCATTCTTGAAATTTTAAATTTGTTTGAAGTGAATTTTGAAGCAAACACTGTTATTACGGTTACAAAAAAAGTGAATATCCCTCGAATGGCTCAGGATAAACAAACGATTAAAGATCCCAATTAATTTGAAGACATGAGACTATAACGTCGTAGGTATACTTTTATCCTTCGACCCGAAGGAAAATTTGAACTTTGACCAAGAAGTATTCAGTAAGACAGTATTTAAACACCCCGAACAATATGTTTGTTTAAGTTTTTTTGCTTATCTTATATTTTGAATTTTGTCTAAGAACAGAGCTATAATTCGAACAATAAAAAATCGGATCACAGACTGAGAAAATATTTAGTCAAAAGTGACGGTATTTTAACGAATTTCAGCTATGCGTTAAGTTTACGAAGTAGTGTATAAATTATATTACATTATATGTGGAAATAAAAGATTATGTCGGATTTTGACCTGTATGTCGCGATACCAAAGAATATGAATAACGTAAACATGAACATTAGAGTCTATACTCAGTTTATAAGTCTCAAGATTTTCACAAAATTTCCAAGAGAATCATGACTCGTTTTGGAAGTGCCTACTGATGTTTTCTAACACTTAGTTTCTTCAATAAAAATAATAAAGTGCGACTATTGATCGAAGCCATACGATTAGTCACCTATATCTGCAAATATAGACCAACAGGTTGGTTTCTGGTTTTTTTACATTTTTCTACTGTATGTTGTATTAGAGTTACTTAGTTCATTTACGTTTCTAATATATAAGCGTAGTGTTTAAATGTATAGGAGGGGTTTTCCGTTGCTCATCCCTCATCTCAACAAGTGAAAAATAGGGCATTTAACAAAACAACTTAGATAAAAAAAAAACTAGAGCATTCTATGGTCTTGTTGTTCTGTAGGAACGAGCTGATACAGAGTGGAAATTTGCCAGAAGCAAACTTTGGATAAGCTACTTCGAAGAAGGAGGAACTGTGCCTCCACCCTTTAACATCATTCCAACCCCGAAGAGCGGTTGGTATATTATACAGTGGCTGCGAAGGAAATTTTGCGGATCCAGAGCAGCTAAAAAGGAGCATATGCGTACCATCAGGGTAAGCAATTCTATTCATACTTTTAATTATCCATATAAAGTTTTGTTGTATTGAAACCATTGTTTATTGTGTATGTCTGAAAACCTCAGTGTCTAAAACTATAGCTTTGCGAGCAAAAACCCTAAAGCAAATCTAGTAGAAAATATTTATTGAGGGTTTCAGCCGATTGCATTTTCCTTTGAAACGCCCCATTGCTTTTTCGGGTAGTATTTCGCGGAAAAAAACTGATAAATATGTAGTAAAACGGAACATTTCAACTGCTTTTAGTGGAGTACTGTTCAATTTACATTCGATTTGCTTGTTCGGCTTCTAGTCTGGAGAAATGGATCAACGCATTCATTTGGAAAAAGCGATTTTATTCAGCTTTATGTATTTTTTGGTATTACATAGTCCAAGTAATTTTTATAGTAGGTATTGATACTTGGCTCAAAAAAGTAAATTTGTTAGAAATCTGTTAAGCACCCAGTAACATATTGTACTGATGACATCCGAAGGCAAATTCGTTGAGGCACTTTGAAACGACGGAAAACTTTGCTTGGCTTTCAAAATTGCGCATTGGGAGTTCGGCTGGCACTTTCCAAGTTTTCCTTTGTGCAAACAATACCCACCGAACCTGGCCTGGAAAAACTCCAACTTTACGCACTGTTGATCCATACAAAAAGTCTTCGAGCTGAATTGTTTCGGATTATAAATCACTGTTTCGGTAATAAGCAAACTCTTCAGAACATCTCGGCCCTTGATCGAGGACAGGACATGATTGGTGGCTTCTAAAGCTGGTAAGCAAGAGTTTTGATATTGGCAACAAACGCTGCAAACTTTTTCTTCGATAGTGTGCGGAAGGCATTGGCATTGTTTTAGTCCGATTCGGCCACATTCTATGCTGTGACATTCGCTTCCAATGCAAACTCCATTAAGGCCACAAGTGCAGTTGGAGTTGGAATTCGTACATGGACAACCACGATCAAAATTTTTACAGTTCTGAAATGTATAAAAATCGCTGGCATTAACATAAAAAATCAGATTAAATGGGTGCAGGAAGAAAATGAGGTAGTTTTGAAATTGCAAAGTTTTCCTTATGCCGCCGCGCATTTGCATGAGCTTAAACACCATGCCAAAAAACTCTGGAAATTATAACTAGTCAAATAACGAAGAAGATGGAAAACATACCAAACTTAAACGGCATAAATTGGCTCGGGTTGAACCCAACTAATTCAAGAGAGTTTGCAAATTTATTGCTAATATTTTGGCCACTTAATATTCACAGAATGATATACATTAAAAAATATCATCAATATTATGGACGATTTCAACAGTATCCGGACGAATCTTTTGAGAAAAATGTATTCCAATCTAGTACTAAATACTCTTTGGAGCGGAGAAGCACAGATTTTGATTACAATATTTTAAGTGACATTAAAAATTTTTGCAATTCATAAATGAGCCCAAATTTCGAAATTCTCATTTAAAGATGAGTTTGGGTATATTCATAATATACTAGACAGAAAAAATTAAACAAATTTTATTTATATGAACATGACAAATATATTTAAATGATATAAAATATTAGCACCGGCTGAGAAGAATTATTAAAGGATGGAAGGAAGCTTAGGATCAGCCTGCCCAGAAAGAAAATCCCTTTTTCTTAATATTTTGTGACAATGTTCGGCAATGTGTGAATTAGAAGCCGCGTTCTTTCATAACTCTTTACGTTCAAGTTTTTTGCTTAAATCAAGCAACAAACTGCTTTCTTTGCTGATAATTCCATGAGAACATAAATATTTTTAACGAAATTATTTTGTTTTTTTTCTTCAATCCTAAGTTAATGGCTGTAGATGTTTTGGTGCTTTTTACTACGGTTTAGGTTGTGTTATTTCCATTGGCGTTTTTGTATCTATTACTTTAGAAAACGTTTACTCTGAAACGAATGATCGAAAATGGATAAAACGTCTGCACAATGAAACTCTTAAAATTTTGATATGAACATTTGCAACAGTACATGTTAATTTCCTTCTCTGTCTGTCCTCTACAAATTAATTATACACTTTTTCGCAATTTTTTTTAAGTTTCAAATACAATTTTTAAAATCTGGACAATTCACCTTTAACGCAGTAAAGTTTTAGATACTGGAAGCAAAAACATGTAAATGATCGCATCAATTAAAATATGTGAGTCTAACGAATGAGAAAACATAACCATATAACATAATTAATTATTAACCATAGCAAATTTATTTAAAAAATATTACCCTTAGTCAAAATTTTACATTAGTATTCAGTTTAAGTCTATTTGTTTGAAATAATATAACGCAGTTTCAAAAACTACGTTTTGTTTGCTTTCAATTATTTTTCACATGTAATTTTTATATTCGTTTTTCTCTAAAAAGTGTTTTCCTTTCCTACAGAACAAGACTTTGACAGAAACAACAAAAACTTTTGCAATGTTTTGCCAATTTCAATTACGCTTTCTCTATTAGAATTTTTTTAATGTTTTTCCAATCTTGAAAAATCTGTCCTTTTTAGCATTATTGTTAAAATTGTCGATTTTGTTGTCTTGCTTCAATCATCTTCAAGACGCCGTTTACATGATTTGCAAATTTGTTTCATCATTAGCATAAGGAGATAAGTATACTTAGTTTTCCGTTATCTTTTGTTGCCTTTTGGATTTTATCTGTGCATTGGAAATCACTTCTTTAATGCATTGAACTCAGGATTATCTTTATGAACGTTAAAAGCCTAAACAAATTTTTGGGAAAATTATCGATCGAGTATTTTTGTGTTCGAATTTGTAATTCTGTGTACCACAAACTCACCACAAAATGTTCCAAATGCGTGCTATACTTGCAGCTATTCGTACAACATTCGCCTTGCGAAGGATGGCATTGGAATCCGCGTTTTTTATTAATTTGACATGGATATTCTTTGGTTCTTCGAGGCACACAGCATGGGTCCATCTTAAGACAATCTCTGGTTAAGCCGCAGTCGCAATCTTCGCCTTGCTCGACAATACCTGAAGAAATATTATTTGAAACTTACCAAACACGCGATATTTTCTAGAAACTAATGAGAATTAATTTTTCTTGAACCCTAAATATTTGGTAAGTATAGAAATCGATCCATATTATCTTCTTCTAAAATGGTTCAAGTTCGAAGGCAGTTTGTGCAAATTGTACAATCAATGCAATTTGTTGTTAGATGAAAGTATGTAAATTTTTGTTAATTCACAAATAAAAAATGCGCTTTTATTTCCCGACACTTTTATATTTCATTTATTATTAAATCGACTAAGTTCTTAAAAGAATTACATGTTTTAATATTTCTGAAAACTTAAAAAACACAGGATTTGTTTGGATACAACTCTCAAAATATGTGGGCAGCTGAAATATATTTATTATTAGATAAAAGGGAGTAAATATTACGAATAAAAAAGAATAAATATTACACATTTTGATATGCTTCATAATTAATACCTACTGATTTCTTAACAAATATTAGGCACAATTCGCAGCTTTTGGAAAATTATATTAAAAAATCATTGAATTTCTTTACAAATCCTTCCAAGAATAATAAATTGTTATATTTTAAGTTTGGTATATTTTTAATAAAGTATTATATGTTAATAACCTACTATATTCAAATTTATTATTTTCAACAACTCGTCGTTCCCTGCTGCGTAAAAAATGGCTGCAAAGAATAAAAAATGATTCTATTGCGTAAATTAGGTTAGAAAATGCGAGCTAAATAAATAAATAATAATTGTGTATATTTTCCTGACTGTATTTTAACTCAATTCAAAAGAAATTGCTGGATTCCAGTCAATTTTATTGTTTATTATTTAAAATGTTACAAATACGTTTCGGTGTTTTTCTCCACCATCATCAGTTTGTATGTATGGTTGTTCCTACCTTCACACTTGGCAATGTGCTTGGTAGAAACAACCATACATACAAACTGATAATGGTGGAGAAAAACACCGAAACGTATTTGTAACATTTTAAATAATAAACAATAAAATTGACTGGAACCCAGCAATTTCTTTTGAAATTAATAATAATGTAATCAAAGAAAAGAGAAACAGTTTCATATTCTTGTAGACACTAATTTCAATGCCAAGGTATTTTTAGCTTTGTCTGCAGTTGAAAGCAATTCTTACGAAAATGTTAAAAGCAGAGAAACAAATTCCCGTATCTGGAAAAGCTGTCTGAATTCACTAAATATCCATCGTGTGAGGAGAACAAACGAGTTAATCTAACAGAAATAAAGCTGGAAACTGACCGTTTCCACAAAATGTCGTCTGCACTGGCTCGAAACAATCTCCTTTCATAACCAGAGTCCTTAATACTTGTCCTTTGCTGCATGGGGAAAACATCAAATGAGTTCTGTTTCCGTAATAATCAGCAAATGATTTCGGGGACATTAAATAACCGAAACATTCAGGCCTTTCGTCGTGTAGAGCACCAAAGCTGTGCCCTAAATTATACACATCAAGTTAATTTATTACTAAACATTAACATTAATTCGAAAACAACAAACATGGGACTTTCAGCTAGGAATTTGGGGTGTTTCGGTATTGATTATGTCACAGATTAATTACTGTTCAAATATTAGGGTTTGAATCTGGAAATTGTTCAAAGCATTTCCAAATTAACATGAAAATTTGAAATTTCTTTTGCCGTACTTTTTTTTGGATATTCCTATCAGAACAATTTGTGTTTTCTTATTTATTCTTTCGCGATAATTAGAGTTCGTTATTTTCAACTTAAATATGTTACCAATCATCAACAGTAAATGTCTCAGTTCAGTCCAGGTTGTCTTTTTAGTTTATTGTTAAAATAAAATAACATTACATGTTTTAATTAAAGTAAATATTTTGAAATTCTTATCGAAAAGGAAAATTCTTTTGTGCATAAGCGTAATTTATAAAATTAAAATTATTGGCAATTTGCAATATCTTAAACATCTTAGAGTTAAAGTTGAAACATACACAGCTGCAAGTGTTGTTGCCAGTTCGAAACGATAGAAATTACTTTTCTTCAGTGGATATTCACCTAATTCATGAGTGATGGTAACTTCGAAGATGACCTGATTGACTAGAGGAGTTCGGGATGTCGAAGCCGTAATTACCAAACCGTTCATGGTTCCTAAATTCGCTGTTTTCTTATCGCAAATTCCTGCTGTAGGATGCAAAGATGTGCTATCAGGAGTGTAACTTGCCCCCAAAGTGCCTTTGTCGAACTTTTGAGCGGTGAATACTATGCCTAGGCAGTGTTTTGGCAATTCTTCATACCTAAAGTTTGCTACTATAGAAAAAATTTGCAACAATCCTTAAACAATAGTTAAGAACAAGTTAAAGATTTAGAAAAATCCGAGAATGAATTGAAGAACAATTTGTATCAAAAAATATCGTATTAAAATAGCGTAAAAACCCTGATCAGGGATCTTGACCTGATCGTTTTTTGTTAGAATATTTACTCAACTATTGCTTATCAAAATGCAAGCTTTCTTAACAACCTTTACTGACTTTTACTACCCTACTACTACTTACTTCATGAATTGAGTTAAATAGTCAAACACCCTCATGGCGCCTGGTGTGTAACGTGGTAAAAAGTAAGTCGCTTCGCCAGTGGACCAGATCTCAATTTTTTTCACGTAAAATCCAATGTTATCAGGTACTCCGTCTCCATCAAAGTCTGTGGATCTGAATATCGCATTTGCTTCCTCCAAGGAGAAAAGCACTTGAGATATGGCCGCTTCTGTGTTCGATTTATGAACCAAAGTTAAAAAGGAGTTATCGATTACCACGACCAATGGACAAAGCATACTAAAAAAATTATTAAAAATATTATAATCATAAGTTTGTATTACTTGATTCGATTTTTTTTAAATAATTTTTTACGCATTTCCTCTGATTGTGTTTATAGTGGATAATAAACATATAATATTAAAGGTTACATTTCGGCAGATTTACACTTAACACCGTAACATTGTGCATATTTTAGATTTAATTTAAAAAATAACGGAGTTTGCCCTTCTGTCTACCGAAAAACAATAAAGCGTTTATTAAGGGTAGGGTGCTATCTACAAAGAAAAATCTACGAGTTTATTAAGGGTAGGGTGCTATCTACAAAAAAAAATCTACAATGTTTAAATCAGGTGTTCGCGGAGGCTTAGAAAATGCAACGTATTCCAAACTCGTACCATAGGCTCTCCACTAGGCTAAATTCTAAATTCTCTTTCTCAAGTGACTCAGCAGTTTCTAAGCTTCTACGCCTCGAATGTGAAACTGAGATGAATTTCGGCCCAAGAATGATCGGGTACACACTTTCTGAGCCCTAGAAGCTTCTACGACTCAGAAATTGTGAACAGATTAAGATTCAGCAGACTTTTTCAGCTGGGACAGTTTCCAGTACTTAATAGATTTCATATAAAGTTGGACTTTATTCGATAACATTTATACTTTTAAATTAATTATTATTTTCAGCTTCCAATTAAATGGAAAAGAGCACACTTGAATAAATAAAAAAGTGTTCAAAGGAAAATAGGAATAAAAACTGGATTCAGTTACCTAAACCGTTATATGAAGATGTATTTAATAAACAAGAAAGTAAAAATTAAGCAGAGAAAGCCCGTGTGAACACACTGAAAAACTCCAATCAAACAAGACTTACCTTTTTGCATTAAACTGTGTATATTTGCTATGAATACATTTAATATACTCAGTTCATTACAAAAAAGCAAGTCTTGTTTAAATTGGAGTGAAATACTTCTTTCTTTTTCTCCATTCTTTTTCTTCTATTTTAACATTTCTTCTAGCATTTTATTTTTAATATTTTGGGTATCATTTGAAATTTTCGTTTTGATTCGAATACAATGCGATGATGCGATATTCTCTTAAATTTGGGAACAAACATTCTGGAAAGAGAGAGCCAACTAAGTTAATTACAGAAAAATTTAACTACTTATAACCAACAAGATTCTATCTATAGAAAATATTCATGAATTGCACTTCGAACAGGTAAGAAACATGTTTATGTCTTAACCACTCTTTTAAAACTTATAGGTGGTTTGTTAAATCTGTATGAGTTTGATTTTGTAATATTTGCCTGTGTTTGTTACAATTTAGTTCGTTTGCATTTGCTTCAGTCCGACAGAAATGGAAAAAGTAAATCTGGTTTCAATAAGCAGCTTCAATTCAGTTAAAAATAAAAGGTAAAAACAGCGGTTGGTATAATTTATCTGCAGTTTTGCGTACAGTTTATATCGAAAATTATACGTAAACTAGTGAGTTTTTCGAGTTTCTAGGGCGTCATAAAAAATAATTTCTTCCTGGCATTTTGCAAGCACGACTGATAGTCAAACCACCTCTAAAGATGCAGGATACTCGTGCTTGGAAAACATCAGATTAAAAGTATTTGTCACGACGGCCTACAAGTCTGGGAAACTCACCAGTTTTCTTAACAGCGCCTCAAAAAACTTCTTCATTACTAACTTCAAGCCTCCTTCGTATTTGCAGGGACAGAAAATAAGCATTGAATATTTATATGAAATAGAGGAAATAATTTTGTTAAACAGCCCATTTACATAGTACATTTTAAATAAGATATCCAAACGAAGCAACAACAAAGGCAAAAAATATTTAATGCAATATTCAATAGCTCAGTATGTAAGCTTTAAACGAAGCATTTTAAGAGACAAATATTCGCATACATACCCATTTTGTTTCCACTTTTGGTATTTGTTTTCATAATATTGCCGGTTTACCAGTTGTTTAAATAGCAAATTGGCTGATTTGGTCTGCGCAAGAAAAATCCCGTAAGTGACTGAATCTCTTTTGAAAACCAGCGCGTTTCGCTCAGCAATGACATCATCAGTCACATTCATTCCTAATGCGGGTTTATATTCGTCGATATAATACATGGTATTGTTAAGGATTATATGGCCGTAGAAGTTTCCCTCCTTTACATAGCCGTTAACTGAACTGGTTTCTGGATAATTGCTGATATATCCTTCATATAAATTGCTAGTTTTCCACAAGTTACCACTCCAAGTAAAATTATCGGCTAATATTTCGCTGTCTCTTTGCTTTATGTGCACGGTCAAGGGTTTTCCATCATTGGACAGATTAATATCAAATAAAAATTCTGGCCTGGATGATACTAGCACATCGCGTTTTTCTCGAAAATTGTTATTTACTTCGTAAATCTGCGAACCGCTAAAATGATAGTCATGGATAGTTACGGTGTCCACTTGGAAAATTGAGTGCACCAGTGTAAAATCCAGGAAAGATGTAGAAAGTAGAATCAACATGTACTTTGGAAACTGCATGCTTGTGTAGACATGACTAAACATGAAACATGACACTGATTGATGAAAATTTAAGAAAAGCTGCAGGTAGTTTTCGTTTTGTTAATTTCACAAATTTCAAGTTTGAGTAAATTTTAATGAAAATTAATTGTAAACGACGTTAATGCTTTTTTCTTTCAGAGGAAAGTCAAACAAGCAAGCGAGAGGGATTTCAGATATCAGGTAGGATTTTTTGTTATACCTAATTTCACATAAGATTAATAATATACAATGTGTTTCATGAGGAATGGGCATTATTTGAACCACTGATTCTAGGTCCGAAAATAACCCCAGTTTGCTTTATAGTGTTGAAATTTAATTTAAAAAGTACATGATTAATTTCTTCAAAACTCATGGAGCTACTTTAACGAAATTTTCCAGACATCAATTGCTAGGAAATACGAATGTTTTGCAATAAAATAATTTTGTTCATTTTTGCCACGGGCATCCGTAACTGCACGCTTCTGAATTTACCGATAATGTTTAGAATTTCATAGACAATTTTGGAAAATAAATACTTTATACGATGGCAAACACCAACGCGAATGGCAGGCATTTTATGAATATTCAGCTGTTATTATAATTATATGGTGCAAATGAGTAACTCTCTTAATACGAGCCCGATTTGGATCATTGAAAATTTAGATCGTCTAAAGCGAGTCATTTTGTCTAAAAATCTTATTTTGCAAAATTGAAAGCCGTTGAGAAACAGTCATAGGGGTTTTAAGGTCGATAAGACGATTTTGCAAGGCAAATGTTTTCTATCAATTCTTTTGAGGGTTTAATTATCTGATTTTTCTTTTTGTCTGTAGGAAAACAGCTTTTTGTCTGTCGGAATTTTCTGCATAACTCTTAATGCCGGGTTTATTTCAAAATGTTGAAATTTGTTGAAACACGTACGATTTTCTATAAAAACTGTATCTTGGAAAATTACAATCGATTGAAAAACGTTATGATGATTTGCAGGTCGAAAAGATGAATAAAATACTTTGATTTTTTACCTCGATTAACTCGTTTTCAAAATCGAACATTGAATGGTTTATCAAAGTGTATTCTCGACACATTCCCTGTCTATAAGAAATTTTTTATTTGCAACAGTTTTGGAAGGAAACTGGCTCTAAATKTATCTCTATTTATCTACTAATTACTCTAATTTATTAAATTTTTAATCCCAAAATGTATTTTGAGGAGCAACTGAATGGTTTGCAAAGAAAATTTGMAATGCATTTTTTTAAATTATTTTGGATATTTTCGATTTTTTTTTAAATTGCAAATGTGCAAATTCTYCACTWAAGAGTTGAATTTATTAGAACCGACGGAGACACTGAAAGGTCTGGAGTTAAATCAGCTGACAGAGAAAATCGTCGAAATTATTCGAGTTGCAACAAAGAAAGTCTGCACGTTTGGAAGGCAGTGAAACCCGAAACTCATTCTCGCACAACCAGACTGGAAGAACGCAATGTGATGGATAGCGATGCACCGGAGTACCTCCAGCTAGTAACGAGAGCGATTCGTAGTGACTTAAAAGCGCACAACTCACGGATGATTCGAGAAGCCACTGAGGACAAGATGAACATGAGGGACCTTCGTTCCAGAACGGCTAGAGGAAAATCACTCATATACATGATCAGGATCGAGCGGGGCGTAGTTGTGTCAGGGAAAGGCGAAATCGTTGCGATCATCGAGAACTTCCATCGGAGACTATAAACCCAGTCAGTACCAGAACCTGACTATCTCCGCAAAATCAGAGAGAAAAGATCGTCGGTTCCGAGGAGATCCCAGAAATTGATGGGTCAGAGCTAAGAACAGCATTAAAAGAGATGAGAAATCGTAAAGCTCCCACAGAAGACCAAGTGACGAGTGAGATACCGAAGTCTGGAGGAGAAACTGAACAAGGCACAACTCATTATCTTTAACAAGTGCCTCGAAGAAGGAAGGATTCCAGAGGCATAGAGAAATGCTGAGGTCACCATCCTTTTCAAGAAGGGCGACTCTACAAACATCGAGAATTACCTCCTCTCAGTGTTATACAAGCTCCTTACCAAAATAATCACCAACAAGCTCCACTTTTACCATCCTGGAGCGCAAGCTGGATTCAGGAAGGGGTAGGTACAGAACGATAGACCACATCCAGACAGCACGCTGATCGATAAATCCACTGAACACAACATCCCACTACACCTGGCGTTGGTCGATTACCAGAGATCTTTCGATTCTGKGAAGATTTGGGCAGCTCTACATGCGATGGCCGCTTCGAGGATTCACTCAAGACACTAGAATCTCATCAGATATATATATATGTACATGCCACTCTCCACGAGGATCCCTATTAARAGAGGAGTTAGACAAGGCGAAACCTCGTCAAAACTGTTCACAMTAGSGCTACAGGACRTGTTTAAAAACCTGACATGGTAGAAAAAAGACATCAATATCGATGGGACATTCCTGACTCACCTACGTTTAGCTGACGATATKGTCCGGCTGAGCGCTGATGCCGACCAGCTTGGACCCATAATGAGAAGGCTGAAGAAAGCGTGGGAGWCAGTCGCCCTGAGGGTGACCCTCCAAAAGACTAAGATCATGAGTCAAAGTGAGATCCAGGACACACTCGACAAGCACACGCTTGAAGTTGTTGAAAAGGATGTGTACCTTGGCCACAACATTAAGATTGGCAGGAACCACCAGGCAGCAGAAATATCCAGGCGAATTGGCCAGACGTGGGCGGCTTTTGCAAAACTTGACCACATCCTCAAAAAACCGGTCATACCCATCAACCTGAAGTGGAATGATGATTTTCAGAGCCCCATATATGACTGTTCTGTTTATTCACGTAACCACCGAGCGAAAAATGAGCCTCATCGCTGCAGAAAATTCGGTTCGAAAAATCATCATCAACGGCTTGTTGTTCAATCACCCAATTTGCGTATGTTCTATGTTGCCCATGTTCTTGAGTCAGTTGGACTTTGTACGGATGCAGCTTCAAATCCAATTGAAAAATTCGCCACAATGAGCCGTAAGACAAGCCCAAATGTTGAGCACGTCGGGGAATCGACGAATTCGGGTGTTCCTCCACACTTTGAGCAAAAACAGCGATATTTTCAGCTGATCTAATGTTGCGATGATGCTCAGGCTTTACAATATCAGTAACCGATCCAGTCTCTTCAAATTTTTTCACTGTGTTCGGAATTGTTTGCTCTGTGGGTCGATTATGTCGACCGTAATCTGCTCGTAAAGCCCTAAACGTTGATACAGCAGAATCACCATTTTGTTAGTAACGTGGCAAAAACTTCTGGCCGCTGAAATTCCCTAGCATGAATCGTTTGGCAAAAATAATTTGTTCAGAGTGTGAAATTTGGCAAAAATATGCCAATTTCTAATTAAGTAGGCCAGGATCACTTGCAGCTTTTTAAGGAGCTATCCGCAAACCAATCACAGCTACCTTTAGGCATTTTGCTCCCGATTCTGTGCTATTTTAGCATTTGAATAAAGCCAAGATTATCTGCCAACACAATAAATCAAGTAATTTGAAAATTAAATGCAACAATTAAAAAATATAGTGATGTAAAAATAAAACGCACGCCACTGGCAAAATTTGGCAAAACTATTTTATTGGAAAACATGCGTCTTCCCTAGCTATTGATGCCTGGAAAATGATGTTAAAATATCTCTATGCGTTTTGAAGAAATTTATCATTTTACATATGTTTTATTAAATTTCAACACCGTGTTAAACCCTAACGAAGCATTTTTGGCCTATAGTTCATATAGCAAACTACGGTTATTTTCGGACGTAGAGTAGGTGGTTAAAATAATACCCCTTCTTCATGGAACACCTTGTCTAGAACTATTAAATTATTTGCGCGGCTCCCTTCTCATTTCTTATACATGGTAATTTAAGTACGTAAATTTTATAATGAAACTGGAGGTGTCCAAGGCTCGTATTTTTCTATTTAAATTGAAGCTAGATCTGAATAAAACAGGGCTTGTTTATATTTTTGCGATTCCATCATGCCTAATAGCGTTTGTCTTTTTTTATTATCATCATATTTGTTAAATCGTCTTTAAGTTATCAATAAATTTCCAGATTTCCAGATACTTTTATTGACTTCCTTCATTGTTCTAGGGCATTATGAGAAACTTGGTCAGACGATACGTAACAGTTGAACAACGGAAAGCTGAAAACCAAGGGGTGACTGAAGATGACGTGAATGAAATCAAGCAGGACATATCCGCATTCCGGTTCGAGCTGATCGAAATCCTGAAAAACTCTGGAATGAACACCAGTACTGCCCACAGTGGCATGGGTAGGAAAATGCTGACTTAGTCACGATTTGCTGCGTGCTAAGGGGTGATTTTTCAGGAACGGGCGGTAAGAAAAATAGGCAGAAAGAACGAAGACTGATGAAAGGCTTCAATATAGCTCCTCAACCTTCCACTACGTCGTCTTCCACACTACCGCCAGTAGCTGAGTTTATAGCTTCTCTTCAAGGTATCAGCAGTTATTCAAGTTTATCAACATTTAGAAACGTATATATAAATAATATGACCTCTCAGGACATCATCATGAAGGCCACCACGACTTCTTCGGCTCGACGCTATCAGGCATCTTCAGCTCCACCCCGCGCAGACTGACCCAGCACAGCAGCACTGTTTCTTCAAGCCAAGGAAGCATAAATGATGGCCACGGTCATCATCATCATCACCACCATCATCATCGAGGTCTGGGAAGGTAAATTTTGAGATTATGTGATTTGTGATAGTGTTCTTTATATCCAATTTTTGCTTCCAGACTGCACTTTAAGAGAACCGGTTCCCACAAGCGCAGATGGGGCACCTTGATTGAAGCAGCAAAAACTGGAAAAGTGTCCAGACTAATCGGCCGATCGCGCTCAGAAGACTCTGTATGTAATAATTGCAAGGAAAATGGACATAATCACAGCCACAGCAACAGTCCTGCTTCTGATGAAAACGGTAAACACATTTCGAGATTTTTGTGCGCATGGAACGCACAACATCAAGTTATTGAGCTTCGAATCACA